TTGATCGCTTGAGCCTTGATCCTCAGGTGCACAGCTAACAACAGATTTCTTAATTTTCAGCAGATTTTTAGCTTTACTCCTTTCCTCGTCGAAAACTCGTACTCATTTTCCCACCAACAAAACAGGACTAATCTATTTGTCTCTAAACCTGGAATCAACGATGATAACTCTTCGTCAAACATTAGCGCCTATTAAAGAATGATCTGGATTTAGCTCGAGACAATCAAAATTCCCTTGCTACCATTACATACACAAGCTCTGCTATATACAAGTACTAGTGGAGGGAGGTTAGAGGGAATTAACTTTTACGAATGTCGCTAAATAGATGTACTCATCCAGAAAATGTTTTCTATTTTAACTGAAAGAAATAACATTTTATTAAAAGCCCGAAACACTGATCCACATTTTTAACACGTTTTGTTTGCGCGTTTTCTGCTTTGCGTGACCCATTTCTACCACAAGAGCAAAGATGGCATGTTTTGTTACTGATACTTATTATTCATTAGAATTAGGCCCTGAAATAATTCCATTTGACGACCAGGGACGTATCTGTTGAGCTGAAAGACGGAAATTTGTCATGAATCAAATAAAGCCGAAATAAAGGACAACTTCGAAGTTTCAAAATGGGCTCTACTGAAAGAGTCCTTCCGCCTTGTACTGATTAAAATATAAAAAGTCTTGAACACTTGCCTGAAAATTTAAATTTGGCGATCGATTTTTGAAGCAGATGTCAGTCAATAACAGAAATGTAAGAAATAAGGACACATGAACACGTTTAAGTTTACTAGAATTGGTAATAAAGACTCCCTCGATATACGTGAAACTTTTGAGACACTAGAAGGCCGTCGGTATGACTGACCTGTTTTTATTAACTAATCAAACGTCGATTTCCATGATCATGTTAACGAATATCCACATATGGATTTGTCTTGTCTTTAAAAAAAGCCAAGGCTCACCAATGAATGCAGTGGAGAAGTCACTTACAAAAAAATAATTATTGATTCGTGAACGGGGTAGATACCAGAAGCAATGATACTAAATAGCGTAGGATTGATGATATTAAACAATTCAAATTTTAAATCTGCGAACAATCCTTTACTGTTTAGTAATGACTCAAGAAAGACAAAGAAAAATGACATTTCTGTTTGTTAAGAGGATGAGCAACACGTACAAATGTGTCATTGATGAATATTAGCTAACAATAGCCATTTTAAGATATCGAACATTAATCAAGGTAAACTGGACAAAACAAGAACAAATTAAGGAAACTCCACTGAAAATTTTGGATGAATCAAATAATTATTTTCTATAATAATGCGGTTAATACTATCAAAAAAGACGACTGACATCAATTTTACCGGTAAGAACTTTTTTTTTTGACAAAACTGATACCTTTATCATCATTGCCGTTCTAATTTTATTCAACAAAATAGCGTAAACCGAAATTCAAATTATCATTTATTTGCTTACCATTTGCGGTGAACTGCTATATATATGTCGAATCGGTTAAGTTTTTCTAGTTTGGTCGCTAATACATTAACCAGACTCCCGTTAATATTGTTACTGTATTAAAAAAGCTAAGAGTTTCTATACATAACTAAGTAAATCTTCTGTGAATATTCGATGTTTCGTGGAATCCCAAGGCGATTTCCAAAATTCTTCTGGTTTCAGTACTCCCCAAATTTGGAAGCATAAAATTACAGTAAATTTCCAGTCTGCGAGTCACGGTTTCAAATCAGTTTACCCGTGAAAACACTTTCACAGCTCGAAATCAGTATACACTGATGAAATTTTCTAGATATTTCAGTAATTGTTACATTGAATTTACTAAGCAATTTTCAAACTCATTATTTTTGAGGCTACACAATTTCAAACATAATTTCCACACTATAAGCTTGAAAATCCCCAGACTCATTGGCGACTTTGCACCAAAACCAACTTTGTTGAAATTTTCTCGAAGAAAGTACAGAGATTTATCGTAGTGCTAAAGCTCTCAAAATTGATCAGCTGTAGAAAAAATCGTAAGCTTTAATATCAAACAAGAGTGAAATGCTATTTCAAAGCTAACTGAAAGTTTATTCAATAAGACGAACAATGAATAAGCAACTGAATGAAGTCATTTCCCAAATCGGCAAAACTAAAGGTTTTCATTCATGATTTCAAACGGTAAGCAATAAATTAACAGTACTAGCTATACATCCATTGGATAAATCTTCCCAAGATTGATTCTGCTAACAGCATGCCAAGACAACATGTTCTCTTGCAGTATGGTTGTTGCGGGCGGCGGCAGTGAGTTCAAGCGAAGCTTGAATTTTCGGAGGATCGGAGAAAAGTCCATGAAATTAAGACTTTTCACCATTTATTAAAGAACAGTGCTTTGGAATCATCTTTCATCTTACATGTATTAGTGGCATGTATATCTACTCTAGCTAGTGGATGATCTTTCCCACCAATTTTGTTCTGTTTTAGTTTGCTAGATACATGTATGACTTTGGACAGTAGAGATTTACAAGTTAGGCTAAATTAAACAGTTTGCAAACATCGAGGACTAGTCAGGGCAAGTAGAGATCGAATCACCGCCGCCGGGCGTTTATTCGAACGTAAGTCATAAATTAGGTTTAAAAGATAAACTCTGACCAACAAAACCAACCGTATTAATAAATCAGACCAACGGTAAGATGGTGGTTGTCAATGATAAATTCGAAATGGTGAATTTAAGCGAAATTGATATCTACAACAACCGATTAACACCGCTAGTAAAATAATAATAAAAAATTTTGTTCGACACAGCGACACATAAGCTCGCGCAATCAAAAGCAAGTGACGTGTAGAGTAATAGAGCGATTTGAAAGTAAACTTCACTCATTGTTACAGCTTGGCAAGCCAGAAAACCAAAATCTACTTTCTCAAATCATTTGCTGCTTACTTACAAATAATTGTTCAGTTAACATCACACTCTTCGTACGGATTTTGTAAGCCGAACTGCTACACGCCAAAATGGTGAATCATCGAGCGACTGTTTAAGATCACTAAAGTTAACTGGTTACGCTGAGATTATTTACTGGTTGGAATTAGAATTGACTATAATGGACAATGACCACTAGGACGGGAAGAGAGTTTGAAAATATGGGGTCATGTTTAGTAGCAGCCGGCTCGGAAGAGAAGTTACCAATGGTGCCTAACCCTGACTCCATGCAAACAATACTGAAACAATTGAAAGAATGACATGTCATTGTTTTCTGCGACTTATCAGGCGAGACCTTACTAGCAGCTCCTACACAACTGAAATTATGAGGATCAGTTTATACTATAGTGTACCACTCTTTCAATTCGAGGTCAATTTAGGGAAGTAATTTCCCTAAGTCATATCATCTCGCGGTATCTCAGACTGCAAGTTTTCTTAATTGTACAGTTATACCTTGGGTTATATATAAAAAATCCAAGAACAGCATCATTTATTTCTAGTTAAAGTTCTGTTACAATGAGTTGTAACAAACTAATGTGTACTATGAGTAGTACAGAAATCTTGCAAAGACTAGAGGCCTTTCATTGGGCGCATTGATTACTTAGCAACCTAATATTTCCGCAAGCGAATGAAATTGTTTAATTGAAATTAGAATTCATATGTAGGCTGTTTGGTGAGGCAGCATGTTTAAACGAGAAACTTGTTATTCAAGCTAGGAAATTCTATGATTCAATCCTTAGCAGAGTGTTAGTATGTACAATGTTCGAAGCTTTCTTTTTTTTTAATCTCGAGCGTTATTTAAATTATGCTTTATGATTTAATGTTTCTTTATTTCTTCTTTCTCCTAGTTCTCATAACTTTCATGAAGACAGATCACCAGTTGGGGAATGAAAACATATGGCAAACAAAGTAATTCAAATATACGCCACACGTGCTCATATCTCCTTCGGCCCATTGTAATGTCTGTTTTTTCTAAAACATATTCCAAGTACACGGATCAGAGTAGGAATTACTCTTTAATATAATACAAAGAACGAGTTAAGGTAAAATGTCAGTAAGTACAATTTAACAATCATTTATCATGGTACAAAAAGAAAGGGTTTTTAGGTGTCCAATAATGGTATAAAACTAGCTTGATTCATGTTTACCCTCCTCTATATCAAACAACATTCAGTAAATACAGTATAAAACAACTACAAAATGTCTTATTTGGATATAGTGTTGTGTTGACTTCGGCAAAGAGAAATTTTCGAATTTGGATGTGCGTAAATTCTGTGCTTTATTCTGGATAGAAAAATGAACAAAGAAAATTGTATTTCTGTTCTGCTTTTCAGTAATATAGTGTAAAAAAAATCCTAATTTAAACAACGACAGATTATGCTAAGACTCAGTCTTGCCAACTCTCCTCAGTTTAATTTTTTTCCCACTACACAAAAAGGTGATAAGCTGACAGGCATCCTCGTAAAGCCACAACACCGAATCCAAAGATCGCAGCAGGTAAACGGCAAAATTGAGCTATACCAAGAGATAGATCCTACAAGAAATAAAATTTTAATAAATATTATAAATGATGTTGTGGCTGGTTGATTTGCGACCATGGAACAAGAGCATGATCTGCGCAGGAACTCAGTTACTGAAAAATACAAAACACGAATTTCCCCACGTTAAGCAAAAAGAACCAGTCAAAATGCTCGACGTCTTTTACACGTGAACCGTAATAATTGGAGCATGATTTCTTTAAAACGTGATTATAAGACATGAAAAGTTCAAAACTTATGGCAAGAGAGATAAATTAAGCTGTCGCGATAATCATTGCTATCATTTGGCATTGGGAATTGTGAAACGAAGGTAAGAGTGAAGTTCAAAAGACGCTATAACAATCCTCAAGACTCCTTAGCATTCAAGCCGCTCATTTTTCCAAGGCATGTCTTAAGTATTAAATATATCTTTAATCTTATTATTTTAATTTATTTGAACTAACCAAAATACTTTATACCATGATCAACCGTTTAGCGCACAAGGCTAGAGGACCTTGATGATGCGATCAGGATTCAAAATGACCACCATGTTGTTTGTACTGATTTTATCGCTCATGACCGCTTTCTGCTCTGCTAAGAACAACAAACAATCAGACACCAAGGTAACTGCATTCACGCACTACACTACACTAGGCCACTACACATTTTTTAATACAGTTGATGTTAATTAATGGAGAAACTAGGAATAAGGTATCATGTATTAATTTTACTAAATCAGTCTGCAGGTTGATTAAGTGTAAGTGCTCAAAATGCATTCAAAAACTAAGAATCTAAGATCTAAGAAAGAAAATCTAAGAAACCCAAAATAAACACTTCCTCACCTGGATTGAACGCTAAATTACAGAAAAAAATTGTCCAAGGCTACTAGCATTTTGCAATTAAATTTTCTGTTTTTTTTTTTTGGCAGCCTGTTCAATCTTGTCCATCTTGTAATAATGGTGGACAAACCGGGATGTGGACATACATGACATGTGTCCCAGGAGCCCCTGGGGCACCTGGTCGAGATGGAGCCAAAGGAGACCTGGGTAGCCCAGGGAAAACTGGGACCAAAGGAACACGTGGTGCTGCTGGAAAGAAAGGAGCAAAGGGAGAGCCTGGGATCCAGGGATCCGCCGGACAAAAAGGACAGCGAGGGGACAAAGGCGACAGTGGAAAGGCACGACTGGCTTCACACATGAACTGGAAGGAGTGCACTTGGAAAAGATTGGACAGAAAAAATTCAGGACTGATATATGTAAGTGCGCAACGTCACTTTATCACTAGAATTAAAGGAACAATATCCCGTTACTGCGCATGAACCAAACTTTGATTTTCTGACAGGATGTCACGAATTCAAAAGATACGAAGAGGGTGAGAGAACCTTAAAAAATCTGTTTGCATCGCGCTTGGTCAAGTTCGATACTACACTAAAATTTTTCAGAATTACAGATCAATGATATATTGTTCAAGTTAAGTTTCGATTTGGGCGAAATCGGGATTTTATGGCGTTATTTAATTTCATTGCCGTTGGCCAGAGGACCAAGAGAAGGGAAACGCTTTAATGACAGTTGAAGGCTTATTATTTCTCCCGCCAGCTTCCATACAAGCTCAGATAATTGTGAAAGGAATACGCAGAAATGGAATAGCAACAATAAAGACGATGTAAGAAAGAAACCATTGAGACATGGATTTGAGGACATCTTGTTGAATAAAGCTTCGTGAAGCACAATGTTTTGCAACGACGTATTAGTAACTTTTAAATAAACCTCCCTACGGCCAACAAATCAAACAAACAGGCACTACATAATATAATGTTTGACTAACCTTTGAGATTGCATTTTTATTCATATCTTGCGACCTTTTGAGGATAGAACGCGAGCAAATATTACTGGATTTGACTTGCCACAAATTAACCTCTGATACGAGTTTCACAGCAGAAAAGCTGTTTTAAAAGCGAGCGGAACGAGCTTTTCATGTTGCGAAGCGGACGAGCCACGGCAAAATCGCGATAAGTCTTTACTGCCGCAAGCTAATTTTTAAATAGAACGAAATACTTCTTCGAAAGTATTAATTGAGAATGTTAACAACAAATCTTCTTCGATCGGCGGTGCGGTCCGGAAGGAAATCTTGCAACGTCAATATGACAGTTCTATTGTCTTTTTTAGAAAAAACAGACGACGCTCGCCAGAAATCGCGACAAATCTCGAACCAAGTTTTCCGTGCTAATTACATGAAGGTGTTTGTTTAATGATTTAAGCTGCTGTCAAATCCAGCCTGGTGTGGGCTCATTGTCACGATATTTTTTGAGTGTCTAAAAGTGTTACCTCTCATAGCCTGCGAACGGCAGACGCTCATCGCCGCTGAGGGACGTTTCGCGAGGAGGAACGTCTGCGACTCAGCGACAGAAATTCCATACTGATGACGCAAAATCTGTCCGTAATCCGGTCGGTAGCACTAATTGGTCGACGGAGTAGTTTCATTGTTCTAGCTATTGTTTACGAATGACAGACAAAAGATAAAAGGCGGCAAAGGTAAAATGTAAACGCGATGAGTCTCTAACAAAACAGTCAGTATTTGTGGAATATAGTCTTCTCTAGAAGAAGCACATGAGTTTTGTTGGAGCTCATTCGCAGATGAACACAACACTTTTCCAAAATCGACCGGGAGAAACGTAAATTTGAACAAATTTGCATTTGGAACCCCATGACTACAGGATTTATTAACTAGTAAACATTGATTTACGTCGTCAGTATGGAATTTCTGTCGCTGAGTCGCAGACGTTCCTCCTCGCGAAACGTCCCTCAGCGGCGAAGAGCGAGGAGAAACGTCTGCCGTTCGCAGGCTACACCTCTCACTGCGCATGTCGATTCGAAATTCTTGGCGATGATTGTATTGTACTAGTTCAAACCAACTGAAAAGATTGATTGTCATAATGCACAGATGCTGTTTACTTTCTTTATATGTTCTTCAGAACTGTGACTTTGTAAAGAAATACCCGGACTCTTCCCTCCATGTCTACTATGCTGGTAACCTCAGGTATGCCAATTGTGACAACTGTTGTAGTCGCTGGTATTTCACCTTTAATGGAGCCGAGTGCAGCTCTCCAGGAACTATTGACGGTGCATTCTACTTGGCAACAGGCCGAAACCACAATCCTCATCTTCACCGCCACATTGAAGGTCACTGCAATAACATTCAGAAAGGAAAGGTGCGAGTGGGATTCTGGGTTGGAAAGTGCGTCTCAGGCCATAAGCTTGCTGACGCCCAGACTGGTTGGCATTCACTGAGTCGTATCTTCATTGAAGAAGTGCCAAAAGCCCAGCAGTAACCACGAGCCATGTGATCATCTAGACTTTTTAAAACATAAGGGTGTTAGCAGATATGTAGTGACTGGGTAACGAGGTGTGTAAAGTAAAGGTTGCTAACAAATCTGTATCAGTTAAGAATAAAATCCTGAAGCATTTAATGTTATTTTCAATTGGTTCAATGTTATACTTGCTTCATCCATTTTCCTATTGAATCATAACAAAGCAGTACCTTTCGTCGGATTATAAACTGCCCTTCTCTTCAACTCGCCTAATCCGTCCACTTGCCAATTCCAATTCCACAATTTTATTTGGTCAATAGTTGAGGTGAACTTAGTTCAAACAAAGTTAGTATCCCCTGTAATCTTTCTCATACGTGGAACTCTAGAAACATGTTTTCTTTTTATTTTAGTTTTTTTTATCCACTTATTGTTTACGCTGCCTCTGAACCATTATTTAATGGAATTTTTAATGCAAGCTGTTGTTAGGGTTCCGAACAGTTGTGGCATAGCTCCTTGAAATTAATACATGTACATTTCAGAAGCCCTTTTAAAAATAGGTCAGCCCACAAAATGTTTGATCCTTTCAAACGACACTCAAATGTGAGTACAGAAAAAATTTCGGATCTACAAAATGAAGAACAGGGGGGGGCTGGCAGCGAGGTCTGGAACCGAGTTTACATGATCGCCCCAGTTAAGAAATTTGGCCGAGTGAGACTGAGTACCATTTTCCTTCAAAACAAATATGGCGGAGGACATGGAGGGACGATGAGTTTTTGCTCGGTTTTGAGTTTTCCCGCGTCCAAACATCAAGAAAAGGTTTTCAAGAACATTTTTAATGGAATTTTTGGACATCAGGAGGCGTGATGTATGAACAGTTCATGGGTGACTACACTTAATGTGATTCGGCATCTCGGCAAGTTCAGTTTTTTATAAGCTTTCGTGAATTTTCGAGCAAACAACCTAGTCTCCATCTCTTATCTTTTTCCACCTACAGTGGTATTAAGAACTCTCTTCCTTATCCTAAACATATGCTACGAGCTCACTATATTAGTATGAGTCTTGCAACAGTCATATGGGAATGTTCATTAAACCAATTTTCTACTTCGCTGTTCGTAAGTTTGTTTGTAAACCGAGAGCCACAACAAATATTTATGGGCGAAAATATAGAATACAGGGCCAATTTAATAAAAGCCAGGGTAAATTTTCCAGTCACTTTGCTTCACATATCCTGGGTCTGTCAGTATAAGCTATTTTTAATATCAGAAGGCTGGGAAGGTTTTACTGAACCTTCAAAACCGAGACAGGCGAAACCGAGTGAAGCAAATGATGAATTTACATTGTTTAAAGTAACATTACGATCAATTTGCCCCTAGGGGAAACTGATAACAATATGTGTCAAGTCTGTCAACTGTTTCGATCGGTTGGTCACTCCGGTAGTGTCATGTACCAGTATGATTTTAAAATAATCAATAAGAAAATTTTGCCGTGACACTAATGGAGCGACGCTTTTTTATATGTATATTTTGTTGCTTTGCTTTATGTAAAGCTGAAGGTATAGTAAACAAAAAGATATA